TAGAGCATGCTCAGTTTCCCTGTATGCTGTGGCGTCTCTAGGTATCAGTGACTCCTTCAGTTCTTCTTCTTGGTTGTCCCTAACTTCTTTGTTTCTACTTTCATGTTGTACACTGGCAGCATTGGATTCGTTCTCATTTAATGGCCAAAGCATCTCTGCTTTTGTGTTTCTATGAATTTAATCAAAGATTAAACTTATTCTATTCCAAGCAGATCACACTCAATCAGCTAGAAACATAACAATGGTGCTTTACAGAATGTGAAGACGGACAACTCAATGACAATTGGGTTGGTTTACTAGATAGGGTGAAGAAGTTAAATGTAATTATATACATATGGCCAAAGTCACCATTCGCTATTCTGTTGGCATGACACCATCACTATACTGTTCGCATGACACCAAAGTCACTAAGTGCTGAATCCTTGTTTTGAGAAAATCAAATTTGAACACTTGAGATCTCACTCAAAAATCACATAAAACTGTTGCTGTATGATAAGTAATAATTTTTACCTATCTGGAATAATAATTCAGATTTGAATTTGGTAACCTGATAAAACAAATAACGGCCCTGAAAAAGCACTTAGGTGAACAATTGCCAATACTGCACTCAGGTGACTGGTGTGGAACTAACTGTTAATTTGTTTAGTGAATAATGAGTGAAAGTTATTCTAAGAATGCTTTTATGAGTATGAGTATATGAATGAGAGAGAGAGAGAAGAGAGAGAGAGAGAGAGAGACAGAGAGAGAAGAGAGAGAGGAAGAGAGAGAGGGGAGAGAAAGAGAGAGAGGGGAGAGACAGAGAGAGAGAGAGAGAGAGAGAGAGAGAGGGAGGGAGAGAGAGAGAGAGAGAGAGAGAGAGAGAGAGAGAGAGAGAGAGAGAGAGAGAGAGAGAGAGAGAGAGAGAGAGAGAGAAGAAAAAATTAAATTCATCAGTAACTGGACATATTTCAGAAACATCCAGGTCAACTTAAAGCTAGTAATATCTATCAAAGAGCCACTTCTTGTGTGAACAAGACTGCAGAGCTGAAGTCTGCAGCATGATGATGATAGTACAGCTTTACATCATATAGTGGTGGTGGTGTAAGAAAATATCAAAACTACTTTTACAGGAGTGTTCCAAATAAACAAAAATAAAAAGACAAACAACAGAAACTACTGCAATTAGGTTAAAAATATGACTAAAAACTGGGAGCGAGTTTATACATTTTTAACAGTTCAAACATCACAGATTTGATGGTGACAGTTGTATTTCAACCTCCAGTGACTTTGAAATCTCTAACATCAAAATGTATGTTTGAGCACTTCAAACTTTTGTGGCTATGTAAATTTCTAATCCTTATCCAAAGAGCATCTAATTTCAAACTTAAGTGGCTGTGAAATCCCTAATTTCAAATTTCAAAAGTCTCTAGACTCAACAGTCTGAGATCTCTAGCCTAATATATATCTTTATAACCTAAAACTAAGTTCTAAAATTGGCCAAATGTATAGAGTATATATGGTATCAAATAAGTCTTATTTTTAATTTTTTTTCTTTTAATGATATTTAAATGAGGAATTCACATTAAAACTTATCTGGGCATTAAAAAAAAAAAAAAAAAACAATGCTAATGACAAATTATCTGAGCATGAATTTTGACAAATTAATTAAGAAAGGAACATTAAAAAAAATAATACCGTTCTCCTTCCCTGAGATGAATACAAATGAAGTGATGAGAAACTGCGAGGATTAGTCACATAAAAATAACACCGCAAGTTAGGCAGGGGTCAGGTACCGTTCAGATACAGCCTTGTTGTTGACAGTCACATCAAGATGAATATAATTATACAGGATTTGTTAAAACACAGTGCTGTCATGAATCAAACATAATATACAAACTCATGTTTGATATTGTACATTCATACGTGTCTACGGGCACACTGAGTAGGTGTGTAGAGCCAGATTCAACAATAATCATTAAATTAAAACAGTGAACCATAACGTAATATACAGCAATCTGTTATTTACAACAGTGCCAACCACATAAAACAGTGCCAACCACATACACCAGTGCCAACCACATACAACAGTGCCAACAGCAAATGGCAGCGCTGACAGCATTTAAAAGAACTGCACACTTCAGCACTCTAGATACGACAATGCACACTTTTAAATTAAAACAGTTTTAATTTAATCTATCAATATTTTCCTAACCTTGTCAGCCGAACTGGAGACAAAGAATGCACAACCAAATGAAATGATATGTTCAAACACAAACAGTCAGCTCAGGTGAATACTGGCAGATACATTTTATAGCCATGTGTGTCTATTTACAGAAAATTATTTCAGACAAAACTATCTAGATTAACCCCAATGATCTACTTCCCACACCTTTTGTGCAACAAAATTAGCTTTACCGGACATGTTATAAAATAAAGGGAGCCACCATGGTGTAGCAGGTAGACGCTCGACTGTGAATATGAAGGTTGAAGGTTCAAGTCCTAATGGAGCCAGACATTTTTCAAAAATGGTTGTGGCTCCCAGATTAACGCAGCCTTACACAGGTATCAGGTAAAGATAACCCAGCCTTACACAGGTACCAGGTAAAGATAACCCAGCCTTACACAGGTACCAGGCAAAGACAACCCAGCCTTACACAGGTACCAGGTAAAGACAACCCAGCCTTACACAGGTACCAGGCAAAGACAACTCAGCCTTACACAGGTACCAGGTAAAGATAACCCAGCCTTACACAGGTACAAGGTAAAAAAAAAGAGTATAAGTAGCTGGGATACCATTTCACTCCCCTTCAGAGTGTCATTTGGTTTATAAAATATGTCTATAGCCTTATATGCCCAATATACTTGAAAGTGTGGTTTTTTTCTTTACTTACTGTAAAATAAAGTAACTTTCTAAGTTTAGCTTATGTCTTCAGTTAAACCTTTAAGCACCGTATAACAGTTAACTTAAAAGTCAGTGCTCTATGAGTTCCTTGCTACCCAAAGATTAAAACCGCATCCTAAGTTTAACGTGCATATTGTGATAGCCTCCGGTCAGGGCAAACATATGTCTGTTTTGATTGAGATTCGAGCACATGATGACCGGACTGGCAAAGTAACTCGCTAACCATGCACTTTTACTGCTAGTTCTTGCCTTGTATTTTGAATTTTTGTTCTTGGTTGAATTGTTTGGAACCCCCCTCCCTTCCCAGGACTGCAATCTGTAGGATTAAAATCTTAAGGATTAGAATAACAAGTACAAATCCCAAAAATCCTCTGCAATCATATAAGACAGTTGTCTTGGGGAACCACAAAATGATTACAAAGTAAATCTATAGTACAGTGGGGCTGGGTTCGACCCTTTTACTCTCTACAGGAATCAATTAACAAATCTAGCTGGCTTATTAGCAATTTTATCATTTTTGTTTTACGTTTGCATTCATCAGTAAAAATTACTTCACCCCTGTCACAAAAGCATTTAAAACAATTTAAAACAAAATAAAACTAGTTCTCTTTCATCTAGTTATACTTTTAAAATGTTTAAACAAGCATCTTTACCAAAAAAAAAAAAAAAAAAAAAAAAGGAGTTGACAAAACTAACCTCAAGCTTCAACAATATAACTCAAACTCAATGAGACAGATAAATCCTGCATAAAACATGGGGAAGTCCCAAGCTGTTTAAGTGTAATAAATTTAAATTCTGAAATTAATGTTCTTGTATAAAAATATATTATTTACCGTTGCTAGCATATTTCTCATTTATCAAAATTCATTATAATTTACTTTAACGTTCAATCAGGATTAGATCTGAATTACATTTTGGCTTCAAATCTACAAAAAAAAAAACAGAATGATTTATTTTGGCTTACTTTTAATTTATTGTTGTGCTACAAAAAGGTATGTTTGCTGTTCAAGTGATACATGCTCAGCATGACCTTTCACACTAAATAAAGATGTTTTCATGTGTATTGTAAAATCTGTACATGATCTTTTCATAAAATATGAACTTTAAAATTTAAAAAATGAACCAGAAGAGAACCAGACAGCCCATGTAGATTACTTGTCTGGATATGAAAAATAGGAAACAAAAAGTTTAAAAAGCTATCACAAGTCAGGTGAGTTGTCATGCTGAAGAATCTTGTCATTCTACGGTTGAGCTGTACATTCTGATATGACCAAACAGCTTCTATGATGAATTCTGATTGAGCTTTCAATTGCTACATTAGCCTGGTGCTCAACAAGGCAAACTGAGAAATGTTGATTCACATATGTCATGATTCCTGAAACTAATTGTCTCAGAGAAGTTCAGATATCAGATTCCTGAGTCTCACCATCTCAGTGAAGCTGAGATTTCTGCATCTGGCTGTCTTAATGAAAAACATATTTCTTAACCTGTCTGTTTCACTGAATTCATGTACCAGATTTCTGAACCTGACTGCCTCAATGAACTCAAACAACAGATTTCTGAACCTGACTGTCTCACTGAACTTAAACATGAGATTTCTGTCCTGTTATAATACAAAGGTTGATGAGATATGAATACGTTGCTCTGTGTATTCCATACGAGCTATCACAGAAGGGCTGAGTCATTTTTACATATATATTATATATGTGTCAATGACTACATATTACACACATCCAAATGTACAGTGTTTTTATATTTCACATTATGAATAGTCGATTTCTCGCAAAATGTTTGGCAAATAACCTCAGAAATACTGTGGGTTTTCAGCCATTTGCACATATTAAACATATTTTTAAACAGTCGATGTGACAGTTTTTTTAATACGTTGTCAGTTTTTTTTAATATGTTTAGAATTCTTCTCATCGCTGTGTGCACGAAACCCAATATTTTTCTTTATCAATGTCTGTGTTGTCCACATGTGGTTTATCATCACAACAGGTTGATACTAATGTCTACAGTATAGTCTTTCCTTTGCTGCTGGCTTTTGAAAGAAATTTGAGTGTTTAAAACTTTGTTATAAGCCATGGAATTTGGTTTTCCAGGCTTATGAAAGCTGGCATCATTTCTTCTTATGTTCTCGATGATCTGTGACAGTTTGGCTGTTATTCTGGGAGGAGTGACAACTGTTGACAGTGTTCGGAGTGGAGGATGAAGAATTTGAGGTGTTCTGCAAAGACTCATTTTCAGCAGTTTGAGGTGTGAAGTTTATCTGAGTAGGAGATGGCGGTGGTGAATTGTCCAGTGACGTCGTCAGTGCCGGAACTCGTATAACTGACTGCTCACTTTCAACACTACTCTGACTGTGGGTTTCACCATCTTCTTCAACATTGAAGTGGAACTTGTCTTCACCATCATGCTTCATGCTGCAGAAGCTGGAGGATGGAGAGATGGGGATCTTTGAGCTGTACCAGTCACGGTTGTCCTCAAGAGTGTCGAGGATCTCCTGGGCGTCCGGATAAACCAGGTCAGCCCAAGTCTCCCACAGTGGATGTACAATGTAATCAATAAACCCAACCTGAGGAGAAATAAACACAATGTAAGGAACTTGTTCATGAGCAGTCAATAATGCAATGCCAAACACACATGCCCAATACCCCTGCAAGTGTGTGGAAGGGTTCATTACTTTCTTTACTCAGATACCACATGTTTGAAATAGATACATTTAAAAAAAATTGATTCCATGTTCTCAGAAACATTCAAGATTTCTCTAATGCTACCACAGTTCTCAGAGGGATTCCATAATTGTATGAGAAAGAAGAAATAGTGACGCAATTAGTAACTGTGTCTTCTTTCTCACCAACAGACAATTGTGAAGTGATGCCTTGTTAAGGATTCATTTCCTGGCCTTCACAGTAATATCTTAAATGTGTGCAACCAAAACATTACTGGGATACTTTGATGTTTGATCGACACCTTTTCGTCTTTTCAGGCAATAGTGTTGTATTGTGCTATGGGAAGGCACAGTAATTATTTATGGAGAAATGGGACAAGCATGATGCACCTGCATGGGTTCCATAGCACAAAATGTGGGCAGTCCTATAAAGACCATGTGTTGCCCATGCATTGTGATCTCTCTCTCGGCCTGCATTGTTTATTCTAAATGAAAGGTAACACTAGTATGCTTAGAACACAAGCTGCAGAAACTGCCAGATCAGCACCAAAAGAATTCACGTTTAAAATGAACTCTTAAATTTTATTATTAGCTCTAGAATTTCCACAGATATCCAAGTAGTACTGTGTCATCTAAGGATTAAACACTTATCAGTTCTCACACCTGTATTTACCTGTGATTTCTCAATGGTTGCTGTATGTCGGTCACACATAGGGCTGATGTCCAGCCCTTGCTGTCTCTCCAGGTCTCCCTGTCTAAAGAACTCTTCCATGACCCGGTCCACCCAAGTCTTGTAGATCTCTAGAGGTTTGGTTGGGTTGCTCAGATCAGAGCAGTGAACCATGTTCTGAAGCACCTGTAACAAGAGAAACAGTTTAGTATTTACAGACTTCAACATTTTGTTGTGTTGGACAAGTAAAAGTTAGGTGAAGGCATGTGTGAAGGGAATAAGAGAGAGAGAGAATCTAATGGAAAGAAGTAACATTCTTCTCTGTCATCACATTGTAACTGGATTATAGCCCAGTTTCGTGAGAAGCAACATTCAACAATAAAACAGTTATTCTTGTCTAAATTACTCTTCAAGAACTGAAACAGTAATAGTCAAGTATTGTGCCTGAATTGTTGGAGGGAATTATAAGGATGTTATGTGATCGTTGCCCTCCATTAAATGTCCATGATTTAGTGGCATACAGCAGTACAGGCATTTTTCAACATCATCATCATCTACATTTACTCTTGAAAGGGCAACTGGCCCATGTGTTGCGGTTGACAGCTGCTGTGCCTTGCGGCCCAAACACATCCAGCAAATCTAATAAGTTGCCTTGTCTGATATGCTTTTTGGGTGGGAAGCAGTGGGTCTATTCTTTGTGTCCCCAAATTAGGGTCGTGGAACCAACACAGCAATCATCTATGATTCACGGTCATACAGTAAAAAGGGGAATACAGAATATTCTTTATGAATTTGTGGTGGGATATTGATCTAAAATGACAAGGGCCAGAACTCACCTGTATTCTGTCCTGATAGTTGTCTAGGAGAAGGACACCAGAACCGGCAACCTTTTTAGTTTCCACCATTGTCTTTAAATCGGCTAGTAGTGTCATGTGTTTGGACATGTCTGTGGCCAAAACCTGGACAGTGAAACAGAGACAGGTTATATATCTTCAGACACAAAAGATATCTAAAACTCATAAGTTCTCCTTTGTTACTAAAAATAATGTCCCTTTGTTTATAAACATTATCCTTTTCTGTTGCAAAAATATCATTTATGTATTAATATGTATATTGTCCATTGATTCTCATTTTGGGCCATTATATGCCACATAAGGCTTGTAGTCTATATGTCTTTTCTTTTCTATTCTATGCAATCTCTTCGATATCATGGATGGAATCAAACCCGTCACTTCTAGCTTCTCAATTTGTTTTAGTTTCTCTTGGATGTATTTGTTTCCTCAATCTCTTTATTACTATTTCAGTCCTTGTTTGATGATTCTCTCTTCTTCTCTTCTCAATGTGTGTCTACTATAGGTGTCATCCTCTCTATGCAGGGAACCTCATAACTCAGATGTGCTGATCACAACAGGTGATTATTTAGGTAAAACCACATAGATATATAAGTATCATAAACATACCATGTCTATAACCATCTTGCGGAAAGACTGTCTCTGTTTTTTGGAGAGGTTCGCCAGGATGTCACAGTTCTCCTCCTGTAGAAGCTTGAAAGCCACGGCAAGATGGTGGTTTTCTAAAACTGATTCATCGTTGTACATCACAGCCAATTCTGAATCTGGTGATCAGAAAGAAAAACCCCACATTAAAGTACTTGGTCAGTGATGTCAAACAGACATTCCTATATATTCAGAGAATGAGTCAGAAATAATTATCAAAAATGTATACTCATCGCTGCTGTAAGGTGCAGAAACCTGGACAATGAACAAGTAACTAGAAAACTGAACTGAACCTAGAAATGTAGATATGCAGAAGAATAGGTCATGGAGACAGAAATGATCTCATACCATATATAGAATCAAAGAAACTATGAATGAAGAGAGAATTGCTGAAGGAAATAAAAATGACAAGCTAAATATTTCGGACACATTTTAAAGATACAACATTCTTATAAAAAACTACTGTGGGGAGAAGTAAAAAGCAAGCAAGCAACAGGCAGACTGCGATACAAGTGGGAGGATATAATCAAGAGATAAACAGTAGTCAGAATGTACAATCAGGGTGAAAGACAGAGCATACTGAAGCTCCATTGCAGCCAACCTTGAATATGGAGATGGCACCTTATTGATACATATAGTTAAGAAAATATTCAAAGACTGATTATTGTGTTTGTAGTAATGTTTCACAAGAAAACATAAGGGGGAAAAAAAAATAGGCTAAACAATCTGTCAGCTGAACTTGGCCTTCTATTTCTAGTTATGAACAGACAGCATAAAAATTGCCTTTAAAATGCATTTGCTTTGGGAATTGTGGAATGAACATAAGGCACGGAAGACAAATATCTACAAAAAGATATTTCTGGAAGTCTTTGAGACCTTTCAATTACTGATATACATCTAAGAAACTGAGCTTATTTGCCAGAAACAAGCAGGACAGACAGAAAGACAAATGGAATGGATAGACAGACTGTTCGATCAATAAATAAGGAATTCAGATTGCTTTTGTTTCACTTAACAAAATACACATTTAATCAAATTGCTTTAAATGTTTACTTCCTTTATGTCACCTCTTACATTTTAAATTGGGTCGCGAACATGGCCTAATTAAAACAGGTTGTTTATTTTCTTGATGAAAGACATCATTAACTGTTATTGTTATGAAATGGGAATATTTCCTTGACCGAAATAATCTTTTGTTCTGTGCAAACATGGCAAGACAAACATTGCCTTTCTATAGATGTTACAAGGACAGCATTTTAGCTATTATTGTTACAGCTTTCTTATTGTTCAATTGGTTCTGCTGTGGACACAACTTGTGATAGAAATAATACACAATAGAATTGTTGCTGACTGTTGGGAGGAATTTTTAAGAAACTCAAGTAACAGTGGGATTTTAACAAGAGTTACATAACAGGGAAAAGCAATTCAAAAGTGCATTAAAAATAATCCTTTGGTAATAAACTTATTTCGAAGTAATGAGTTAAGTGTCTGCCCATTAAGAGAGAAATACTGGCCCAGTGAGTCAACATCATACTCAGAGTTGTGCGGAACTAATGAGGAATTCAAAAACAAAATGATAGGCTTAAATTTAAAGAACTCTGTTGGTGTAAATCATGGATGTAATAAGAAGAGGGGAAAAAAAAACTTAAGACTGAATATTGCATCTAGGGTAAGATGTAGCCGTTCTCACATTCATATTTAAAATAACAGGATGTGTTGGCATTGATAGTGCAGATAAAGCAGGCCAGAAAGAAGAGATACGCCATTGTTGGGTTTGTCACAACATTTCAAGGGAAAGCACTTCACGTAGCTAGTTTCATGTTTCTCACTAGATACCAGAAAACGACGTTAAGTCAATCCTTCAGGCCTGAAGAAGCCCGCCTTTATTAAAAGAAATCCGGGTACATTTTTCCCGGCGGGGTGTCTGTCTGACATGTCTTCAACATTTAGTTGGTGACGACAGAAAAAGAAGATAGTGACTACTTACTTGTGTTGATGAGGTACTGGTTAGTGAGGCCCGGATGGTCCACGTCATGGATGGCACAGGAAAAATTGCCGCAAGGATTTCCAAGTCTGTAAACACATTCTGTGGAAACAACGGGGAAAACAGAATAAGTAAACACGTTCAGCAGAAAATAGAAACAAGAAGTCGTTCTTTAAATGACAAAACCTTTTACAGAAAAGGATAAATGTACAGCACAAACAAGTATGATGTGGTGGGTAGTTTGAGAAGTCAGCAAATCTCAGTTGGAAGTAGCGCCTTAGTTCGTAGAATAAGTTTCACCTTACATGAAAAAAGGGGAAAGAGAATGTGAGGGGAGAAGGGTTAAATAAGGACAGATGTAGAAAAAGATGTTCTGAGGTGGAAAGGGGGGTGGGTCGCTTCTTTTTTAGATCAAATTTCGCTGAGGTTAACTATTAAAATAACATTAATATTGAAACCAGGTTATGCGGGTGTACAAGGTAACGAAAGAGCAGGTGGGCTGGTCAGCACTGCCAGAATATTTTTGCTTTACCCATCTGGATCATCGTGCATTGGTGCCCTGTGCCGTTACTCTCTCACTGTGTGATCTATTGGGGGGGGGGGGGGAGGGGAGATAGTGATTCTGTAATTCTTTATCAAACGATAAACTGCTACATCAGCGCGTGCAGTGAGAGCTGGTGATGGTGAGTCACAAACAAGAACACGGGACACCGTTGCGAATCAACAAGAACAAAGGGCCCCACTATGAATCACACCCGTGACACAGAGGTCACAAGACAAGGTAGACAACTGTAGTCGGGGAGTTACCTCCCTGCTATGTTGCAGCCTGGAAGAAACTGAGTGAAGCCACAAAGACAATGCCGGCTGATTTTCGCCATACCACAATATGGATCGGCGTCGCCGTGGTGGAGCGGCTAGACGCACGCTGCAGATCGGAAGATCGTGGGTTCGCACCCTTTCGGAGCCGGACTTTTCAAAAATGACCTTCACTCCCAGGTCGACACAGCCTTGAGTGGGTACCAGGTGCAGTCCCGGGAAGTAAAGCGTGATGCTGACCACATCATCCATCTTGTGCCGATTGGTCTAAAAATATATGCGCTATATGCCTAAAGGCATGGAAGGGGTTCTTTACTTACAATATGGATCACATTTTACTGAAAACCATGAAAAGAGCCTACAGACAGACAACACCATCATCAACAGAGCCTACTGACAGAAAACACCATCAAAAGAGCCTACATACAGACAACACCATCATATCGCATCACTCGTGAAATAAATTAACTGACAACTTAACTGGAATGTAAAGAAACACATAAACAGATCAATTACGAGTACACATTTAATTTAAAAATATTCAACCGTCGCCAGATAGTATTAGCAAAACACAATCGTGGAATCGTATTTCGCAAGATGTTTGTCAGTATTAGAAACGGATGTCAGTTCATAGTTAGCGTTTTAATTGACACTTGAGATATATCTGGCCACACAAGAGGTTGCCTGTTAGCATTTCCAGATTTAGAAAATGTAATTTCTCAATTTTCTAAGCTGCTAAAATATCAGTGTACATATAAATGACATCGTTTCTCATTCTAAGACGATTCACTGCACTAATTTATTTATAGATGAAATCACCTGGGAGTCTTAGGTGATTGATTATAATAATCAAAGCATTGATGACGTCGTCCGTAATTACCATCTGATACTAAATGCAAATATAAGAATATTGAAAATAATGCTACGATACTCTAAGGTAGCAGACATTTTTGTTTTCCATTTTGATAATTGCCCTCTGATACAGATTTACCAACGTTGGCAGCGGAAGATTTGCTAAAAAAGGACAGGTCTTAATTCTGACATGTATTTCTCGCAGGGAATAATCGCGACTTTAACCGAATTCAAATCTGATTTCTAAGCTCTGATAAACACCATATCTGAATACAGGTCAGTGATAGTAATTAGAGAAATGTGTCTTGTAGGCATCGACATCATAATAGGGGCGTCGACACAAAGAAAACACTGTTTAGAGCCCAACCCCTGAACAAATTTTCTAGTAGAATGGGAGGGGCATCAAGAGACTGTGTGTGTGTGGGAGAGAGAGAGAGAGAGAGAGAGAGAAGAGAGAGAGAGAGAGAGAGAGAGAGGAGAGAACGAGTTTTTAGCATCATGACATACAAGAATACCTGCATCATAAATGACTGGCAATAAACGACCAAAAAGGCTGAAGATAAATTTATGACTAACGCAACTCAAAACTGAAGTTAAGAAGAATGGAAATAATTTCCGAAAACAAATTTTAATAAAACTGCAGTAAATATATTTTAGCCCACACAAAGCCTGGCGCGATTTAGTATTATAGTCAAATCTATAGAATGTGCACTTTTACATGCATAAAACAAGCACGTGCCGGCTTTGTTTGGTAAAAGTCAATATAAGATTCTGCTGTAAATCGATTTATGAAATTAGTACATCGATATAAATACGTTTTTCCTACATAAATTTCTACCCTTCGACAGTCGCGCCTAACATTTATACAACTTATTACAGAGATCCATCTAGCGCGCAAGGGGAAAGAATTCGCATGACCCAAGGGACAGAATTCAAGGCATGTTTTCAGGGAACAGGAGAAAATGATTTAGTCGATGTATAATTAAAGCAATCTTTAGTCTGACACGCACTATGGAAGGCACACACAATAATGTATCATTTCCTCTGCAAATTACCTAACATAACATTACTGAAGCACATTTCTGGGTTGTTTTTCCACAAGAAAACATACAGGGTTGAAATTTAGCTCTCAAACTATAATCACTGTTTTTGAGTTACTATAATTAAAATAAAATAATTGAATCCAGTTTCGTCCTTTTCAGGACGAAATTTTTTGTCATTTGAAGCCCCACTCTGGCTTTTGCCAGGGGCCGCAATATAGGCAGGCCATTTTATATGGCCAAATGTCTGAACGCGGTTTCTGGGACCTCTCCACGGCGATCCTCATCCACATGGTGGCACTTTGTGTCATCGGGTGTTTATCGCTTGTGTGATGTCCTGGTGGGGTAGAAATTCAGTTCAGTTCAGTTTTACTATAATGCGCAGATTTCTCTCTCTCTCTCTCCTCTCTCTCTCTCTCTCTCTCTCTGTGCGTGTGTGCGTGCATACAGATCGGCTGCCATAATCTTCTAACACCCCATGTCCTGTCGGTTTCAAAACTGCAATCAATTCCTTGATGCTGTTTACTGATAGCTACTACAACACTGTCTTCCTCTTACCCTCTTGCACTCCACCTATCTCCATGTGCGACCCTTTAAGAAGGAGCTGTGCCTCTTATACGACATAGTTTGGAAATCGCAATCTAATTCTCTCACCCCCCCCCCCCCCCCCCCTTTAGAAGATACAAGTGTATTCTAGTACTGTTGCGGATTGGAACAGATTAAAAAGTTCAGAAACCACCAGTAGGTCACAGGTTTTGTTTACAAAGTGCTTATATTCTGAAGGACAGCAGGGCTCGCTGTTACGCTGACTTATCTACTAGCCTGAACCCTACTGACCTTAATTCCTGCTGTTTAGTCGGGGTCGTTTGATTTTAACCAGCAAATTAAAAAAAAAAAGTTCATAAAATATTTTGATGGGAGCCAGCTGTGTAAGATGTCAACAATACAGGTGACAAATCAACAGATAAAAGAACAGAGGTGACAAATCAACAGATAAAAGAACAGAGGTGACAAATCAACAGATAAAAGAACAGTTATCTGCTATAGCGAACTTGAGTGCGCGCGCGAGAGAGAGAGGTAAGAGAGAACGTGATATATATATATATATATATATATAAATACAGACGGATAGCTAGAGCACAAGAGGAGGAAAGTAGCCATAGTGACAGCAGCTTTATCCTCAGCAGCAGCATCAACAGGAGCAGTAACAACAGGAGCAGTAACAACAGGAGCAGTAACAACAGGAGCAGTAACAGCAGTAGCAGGAGCAGTGGTAGTATCCCGAATACAGGAAATAACCCAAGAGATGTCGATACACATAATTCTGAATGTTCCAGAATAAGGAGACTGACCTCTAGAGCTGTGGCCGACAGCAGGACGTGCGTGGACTGTGTGACGTCAGCAGCATGGATGGAGTTGTGGTAGGGGGTGTCTCGATGGTAGTGATCCTCAACATGCATCAGGTAGGTGACCAGTGTGTGTGGGGCGATGTTAAACGTCTTCATCAGGTCTCGCTCCTGCAAAATAAACAAACAGAGGTTTGAGGTTTTGAACAACGGATCAACATCTTGGCACACAGGTAGTAACCTATAAGTGCCCCCTTCTTCTAACTCAAGTATGAAAAAGCTCAGCACAGTGCACAGGCTCTGTAGCACCGGCGAGGATCCTTAAATACTCTGGATAGATTAACTCAAAATTTGGCCCGGGCAGCGCTGTTAGGCTATTCTTTTCGATTTACAACAGCCAAGGGATTGTTTACGTGCGTAACAATGCACACGGGCGTTTGATCTCACTACCCAAAGGCCAGGAAGAATTACTAGAAGTCCAAGTCCACGTGAAAAAATCCAAAGAATAAACTGGTCAGTTGTGGCTCAGACAGATGACCACTACAGAGATATTTAAATGGGGCGGGGGACGGGTCAAGATCACTGGTCTGCTCCGCGACTGGGGTGAGTGAGTAAAAGCAGAACCCCTAGAGGAGTGTATGCCGAGTCATTACAACCTGGTTATTCAAAAAGACACCATTCGGATGAGAATCCCAAGGTACAACTTTATGCCGACCACATCCCACAGAAGAGAGCGCTGATTAGCATATTTAAATCATTCATCTAAAGGAGTGAGGAGGATAAGTGACAGTCAATACTTATAAACAGACGTTTCTTGCTTGGTTAAGGTACCAACATACCTGAAATATGGTGTACGTCACGCAGGTCAGAGGTCGGTTGTTGGAGTATTCGCTGATTTTAAACACGTCCACTCCCCATTTGTTGACGTCATTCAGAATCTGTAGAGACAGACAAAGAATACATCAAGGCAATGTACACAAACGCCAGATAACATGAATCTGTGAAACATATGGCTATTTTGCATACCCGCGAGCGTGAACTTGGACCGCAAGGAGTTCGTCACCTAGTCGCCTCGCAACTGGTTTAACCAGCTGATCTTACGCGCCGGGAGTTGGCCTTGTATGCATTGCAGACAGAATCCACTGATAAGACGGAACAGTTCATTATTTGTCTAGTATTTATGAGCCACAATAGCCTATCACTGGGGCCAATTCAAGTGCTGTAACAGATAAACATGCATAGACCATCTCATTATTCCATCATGTCTTTGTGGTTTGGAACTATGCCTTCATCCTCTTGGGCTGTAGACATACACTAAACTGATGTAGGCTTCATCATCTCAATATACCCGGACCACGTGATCTGTTTGCTTACAAATGTTATGTTTAAGGAACGCATCAGGGATATTTCTTAACTCATCATTTACTATTCTATCACAGTAAAGCCAACAGCTTTTCAAGCACACTCCGCGCAGCAAAAAACTGCACGGTAAATGAAATGCCAAATTACTAACTATAGAATTCATTTTCCACCCCCTGAAATATTGAACTGTGCCGTGACCTGTGGAATCCCCGTGTTTGATGGTAATTATTAAGAAATTACCAGCTTTTCTAATTAACACGGGGTACCACATAAAAACAACCCAAGAGACCAAATAGCCTACGCATCAACCAATCAACAGACCAAGTAACAGCTCGCCGAATTAACTTTAAACAAACCACACAGGCTTTACTTGCCTTTGTCAGTTCGTCCTTGTGGGGTGTTTCCACGCCATGTGTAGGTACCATGCCGGTGAAACTGTTTGCGTGTTTGAGTTTTCGGAGACCAGAAATCTGGCACATTGGCCGGCTTTTCTCGGGAGTTTTTTCTTTGATGCCATGATCGACATGGTCGACTTTGACTGTTGGAAGATCTAGTTCTTGCTGTTTGTCTGCGAAATAGAACATTGGCAAAATAAGAACATTATCAACTTAAAATCCCGTAGCGATTCGTGCAGTAAACTAATTAATGGCACGGGTGTCGGATAAATAGTTATTTTCTACCAGTCTGTTACTTTTGCAGAATTCAAAACCAATTCTCACAGTTGTCGGATACCAGTTTATGTAATCGACTAGATGGTCGGGAACATTTCGGTCACTAAATGGAATTGATTCTTTACCGCAAAAAGGCGATGGACTAACCACTATAGTGCCGTTGCACTAATGTCTCCAGAATAGTACTGATCGACGAAAAATTGTACACAAATGTTTGGCCCCTCAAGTTGCATCACTAGATGTCCAGTTGTCCAGCTAGAAGCAAGGAGGGATAGGGCCTGTGATACGCAGAATATCTTCTACTTCTTCTAGTCCATATTCTAGGGCATGGCATTATCAACAACACACCAAATGCCTAACTATCATCCCGCTTTTCCTCGGCACACCCGATATCCTTGTGTCAAAACATACTTTCTTGTTCGGCGGGTTTCTGTGATACAAAGTCTATTAGATTTTAAATTAGTACCAGAGTCGTGAAAAGGCACAGCTATATTTGCACACATCAACAAAACGTCGTACCTTTTTTCTTATCAACTGTTGTCATTGTGATTAAAAATAGCTTGTTCACGGAGAAAAACTATGATCATTTTGTAACCGACGAGAACGACGTTGCAAGGGGCACGAGTTGTTGAAAGGTAACTTTTAAAAAACAAAATGAATGAGGTCAGTAAAGTTACTCTTTGCACCTATAGTTAGATAAGGGTATGACTGCAGAGTTACAGAAAGACAAACAAACACATGATTGCATTCTGTCACGTTTGTACTAATCAAACTCAAAGATGTTTTCAGACACGGTTGGATCTCAACAGCCAATGTCCCTTTCCTTTACCTGTGATAATCATAACCTATTATAATAAGCCTTGCGCTTTGGATCTTCCCATTTTTTGACTCTATGACAAGAAAGAGTTACCCTAAAACCTCCAAGAACCATCTAATGCAATAAACAGACGCGGTTTCATTAAAAAAAATTTATGTAAAGAGTGAAGTAGTTTTCTTCTTCTCTCTCTCTCTCTCTCTCTCTCTCTCTCTCTCTCTCTCTCTCTCTCTCTCTCTCTCTCGTTCTCTTGTACTCCATCAGAACATCACACAAGCGATAAACACTTGGTGACACAACCTGCCACCATGCGGATGAGGATCACCCGTGGAGAGGTCCCAGAAACCACTTTTAGCGGTTAGGTCATATTCATGGCCCGGCTATATTCAGGGCGCCCGGCTATATTCAGGGGGCCCGGCTATATTCAGGGGGCCCGGAAAAAGCCAGGGTGGGCTTTAAATAGCGAAAAAATTGCATCCCACATAGGGATTTTTTTTTAAACAGTCCCAGCTTTATTGCTTGAAATAAAGTATGCGGCCAGATTTTCTCCACCCGGAAGTTAGGACAAAAATGTGTTACATACAATCCAAGCGAACGGTACGACAAGACAGGCGAGGGTGGATACACAAACGGGAGAATGAGGTAAAACATTTGCATAATTATTTGATAAAATGTGTCATTTTATGCATCAGGTGCTGGAATTTGTATTTATTAGCATATGTTAAACAGTAACTATAAATTAGGAGAGGAGGATGAGAGTTGGTAAAAAGATAGATAGATAAATAGAACGAACAAACGAACAAACGACAGAACGAACTTTATTTTCGAAGGGTTAAGAACTGGGCAACAGGCCCGTCTTAAATTCTACCCTTCAGATAGACAGACAGACTGACAAATAGAGAGAGAAGGGGAGACAGAGAGAGAGAGAGAGAGAGAGAGAGAGAGAGAGAGAGAGAGAAGAGAGAGAGAGACATAGAAAAAAAGAAAGAGAAAAACAGACAATTACAGTCGACACTGAGAAACGAGCTTACATGGCACAGCCAGGAAGTAGGTTCATGAAATTATAAACAGCCTGGTTGTTGTGTCTTGTCAAGGAAATGAAATCTGAATAAATAGCCCGCACATCTGACCTTGTCAGGTTTCGTTGTTTCCTTCAAGGTTGTATTATCCTAAAAAAGGGGAGGAGAGAGAGAGAGAGAGACAGAGAGAGACAGAGAGAGACAGAGCTGGTTAATGTCTTCAGGAAGGACCACGAGGTCTCGTATTCTAAATTGTAAATGTGAATGAAGCACGCGAGGAATGGATGCTGGGATATCTACAGCAATTTGTCGCCACCCCTATTCCTCGAAACCCCTTCCCCCCCTTCCCTCCTCCCCCTCAGAACCTACACGGCGAAGTAAGGGACAGTATCCTACAGACGTGTGTCCTATAATGTATACTATCTCGAATTTCTAATGGATTTTAACGCAGGTGTACACCGGACCTTTAGAATGCCAACAACGACTGGGTCAAGTACACATGACCTCTTCTACTGCATTGCAGACAGTGCCGAACATCCAGGATGCCAATCGTGAGTGATACCTTGTCGCTACAGATACTCTCCAGAAATCAACAACAACAAAACCACAAACACACACACAGAAGTTGACACGACAGATATACAGTCTACGGTCTTGAAAGTTCCCAAACCGTCTCCCTGTTGAAAGACGACACACACTGAGATTTTAAACATAGGCTGAAAAGGCAGGCCCGTCTATTTGGGCATTTCCGGTGTCTATGAGGGCCAGCTGAAGCTTTTCTGGCTCACGTGGGCCCAGGTGTGCGCTTTACACTCTTTTCAAAGTTCTGCGCGTGCAGCAGCAGGTGTAGAAAGCCAAAAGTGAGCATCAAAGGTGCGTGCGAGTTTTCTTCTTTTTCTTCGCCGTCATTATTTTTTTTCTTGTAGATACCGTTATATTCCCCCAACCATAGCAATTCGACACACACACACACACTTTTCTGCATTGGCGGGTGGAATATAATTCGACATGATATGAAAATATATGAAACTTTATAATAATTTCAGTTGAAAACGGGGAATTACCTTCGCAGTTCGTTTTTGAGAAATAAATTTCCTGGGATATAATTTGGCATATCTGATAAATGCCATTGGGCCAAGAGATGTACATTTGTGACAAGTGGTTAGATGTGGAAGGACCTATACTACACAAAAACAGGCCCCCCAAAACTGGGGTACAACACGCACACAAAGTATCAAGGCTCATAAAGTTAGTGGTGTTAGGAATGGACAGCAAGTGATAATATATTAATGAGAGTATCATCACAAATTGTCTCCCCTTTCTTTTATATTTGCAATTATACTTTTCCCTCTGATTTTCTTCACATTCTGCTCTCGTCCACTTCCAACGTTTCCATATTCACAACAAAGCTACACATCTCCGCCATTCTTTTTGCGGTTTTTACCGGTGTTAAATACGGACGCCACTTTTGTCAATGACGATCATGATGCTAATAATAATAATGACGACGACTAGGCTAACGACAATAAATGCCAAAGTTCAAATGTCACTAGGCGAAGGACTAATCTCTTGAGTAATGTGTGACAATGACGTAGTTCACGAGAGGATTGTGTGACCTATGAATCAGCTAGGCACGAGAACGAGACACCGATAGGAGAAACATGGCTGCTCCATGTTCTGTTTCGTGTACAAAGGTTGGGCTGGGTATGACAGTTGATCAGGTAGTGGTGGGAGGAGAAGCGTTGGATAAACAGGAACGAGGACATTACTAGGTATACGCCACCTTCTCTCGTCCTTGGATCATGCAAGGGTCCACTTTCACTGCACACCGATATCTGCCTAAGTGTTCAGTTTCTTTCCGTAGATCACACAGTGAGATCATCCGTACAGTGCACGATCCGCAATACCCCCAAAGATCCACATGTATGGGGTATCGAGTCAGTTTTGCATGAATCAGGTGAGCTTCTTGTTTGAACACAGCTTGTTAATTTACTTTAGTAAATCTACCATGCTAGTTTATCCACAAGACGTGTGGAATACAGGACGACAGCAAATATCGAAGGAAAAAAGCTGCCTGGAGGAGGAGGGGGAAAAGAAGAAGCAGAAGAGGTAAGCATTGAAACGCAGTGTTTAGAAAACAAACATCACCCTCCACGATGAGATAACACATTGTTACGCACAAATTCTACCAACCACAATAAACTACACAAAAGCGTCAAAGCCGAGATACGTTAAAGCTGTTATCAGTCTTAAATCCTGCAATTACAAGGAGCAAGAATTGATCTCCCCTACTCGCCGGGTAAATCTCTATCATTTACTGCCTCTACCACGTCCTTTGTTAGGTGGAACTGGAGCCTTATTCTTTCGCGAGCAACAGGATCAAAGCAAGCAGAGGTGACATGGAAAAGACAGACAGAATTCGATACAAGATAATAAGATGGCTTCTCACAAGAACGTTCACTCCAACCGACAGAATCGATTGGACAGATCAATACTGGGACACCTCTGCCGGAATGAATCATCAGTGTCGGATAAAAAACGTGTCTTGTTTTCACGAAAGAAAGAAAAGACAGAATGAGGGCTCAGACAAACTCAATTGTAGACAGACATGGTGTTGACGTGAGGAGAGGACGGTCAGAGAAGTAAAAAGGCGGATACAGGCAGTGAGGAGAACACCGGACTGTCTAACTTTAACTCTGAGTCCCAAGCAATGTGTCATACGTTCATAGTTTCTACCTAGAGGCCCAATGAACGCAAGATGCGCCGATTTTACGTCTCTCTTGACCACTTCTCGGGCCTCTGTTGCTAACCACACTAGGACTCAAAAGAGTTAAAACTACAAGAACCACTTCCCGCACCCCCCCCCCCCACCCCCCAGTTCTAGACGAAGAGCTATGTTAGCAGTTGACGTGGTCATGATAGGGCGCGCACAAGTACTACATATATATATATATATATATATATATATATATATATATATATAGAGAGAGAGAGAGAGAGAGAGAGAGAGGCAACCATGCATTCACTCGAGACAGACAGACAGACAGACAGACAGACAGACAGACAGACAGACAGACAGACAGACGAGGTCATCGTTCTATCAGGCTAGTGTGTCCATTCTTCTTATATAGACAGACGAAAAACACGAAAAACACACAAGAGATTTTTCCCTTAGTGTCCACTCAACAAAATACCCTTTGATAAACAACCCAACATTGAAGCACTATATCAACAATGTGTATAATTCAACCGTGTGATACAATATTCTTACGTATTTCGGAGTTATCAGTGACGCCAGCACTGACCCAGTTACCACAGACAGGTGGAATAAAAACAGACAACAGAACACAGATTCTCTTCTCTTGCATCATAGACAACTGTCTTATCTCGGCCATCTAGTAGCAGTGTTTCTCAAATATTCGTATCTGTCGCCCTCGTGAAACAGTGATTCTGAAAACTATTTTATCCGTGACAATCTCATAGCAGCATTTCTAAAAGCTGCGAGAAATAGGCCTCGTCTCACTGGCCTTATAACAGGAACACTGGATTGGTGGACATTACTGCCCCAGCATTGGGGTTACCATCTTCAGTCTTATACTATGTGAAATGATGGCAATTAATCTGCACACATCATTCTGTCTTGTGTACAGTAAATCTTCTATGGATGATTCAACACTGGCTAAATCTTCTGTGTTCCATCTGCCTCTTTTCCCCTCCCAACTCTAGTTTGAGCGATCCGGAGAGAACCTTTGTCTTAATTTTTAGTTTAATTTCGTACTGCTTGGATGTTTTTACTTCAAATACCTAAGTAGATCCCATAAACACGCAAGTCAACCAGTAAGCTTCATATCTACGTGGACATAGGCATTCGTTATTATCTGAGTAGTTAATAAGGTTCATTATTTTGCACTTCTGAATCCAATTTTCAGTGAGCAATGCCTGCGGTTAGACACTGACATATGTGGTACGAGTGGCTAGTGTTTGTTAAGGATTTGCCTCTCTCGTAAAGATGTATGTAGACGTCGGGATTATCCCTGGATTGCGAGTAAAGGAGCGAGGGGATTTGTAGATTTCAAGAGAACTAGTAATTGGAACTTTCACATTGGACGAGAGATTTATTGCGGGAGTCTGTGGCAAAGTGGTAAAGCTGTTTACATGGCGCTCTGAATGTCGTAGGTTCGATTCAAGGCTGCGTGCGTCGTTCCGTTCACGGGTGTAATCGTCATGGAGATCCCCGGGGATCGTAGCCAGAACTGCAGAGTTCACGCTTCATGCGACGTTTTTAGCGGCGATTAGCAGTTCACTGTACCGGGTTTTTAATCCCAGTAAACGCAGTCTCTGTCAAGAGCGTCACAGAAAGCACAAACTTCACAGCTCCAGCGATGATCCCGTTGCAGCCTACAAAACAGTGACCAGTAAAGAGTGTATACTCATTGTGGCTTCTGTCGGAAATGTACTGATTACACAAAGCATGAACCATGGAGACACTGGGACAAGTGCAGCCAGTCTGGGGAAGGAGCGCCCAAAAATAGTATACCCGTTTTATATCCTATGTGTGCGACAAAGAAGTCCTTTGTCTAAGCAAACATAAAATTATACTGGTCTAAATTGGGCACATATTCTATATTAAGAATGTTGGTTTTATCTTCACTAACCACTGCACACAAGAGCGCCACACACCACAGCAGGTGAAAACGAAACCAGCAAAGGAAGACATATAGATAAGAAGGCTGATAGGATAAAGCTCTAGAGAAAAAAAAATATAAACAAACTGCAAGGCGGCATAAACATCTAATTCCTTATCTTTAAAGGGAAATAACTTCAGATTTAAAATGAGTTCCTTCTTCACAGGGGACGTAACTGACGCACTTCAAAATTGTTAAGATAGGCAGTTTTTCAGCATTCTGAAGACAGGCCAGACAGGTGGGGAAACTGAGGCAGTGACACTTATTTCGAATTTAGGAGTCAAGAAAAGTATTTCCTCTACGAGACACCATATAATTTGAACCCCCCAAAAAAGACATCAATCAAGTCAGACAGCTGAGACAGACCAAAGATTTTCACTGTTTGAGATCAAAGTCTGTAAATGCACAAATTACTTTCAAGTAACCGAAGAACACGAACCGATAGTATAAGTACGAGTCATAACTTTATACGCCAGGTCGTTCTGGTCTTGTTACGGCTCAGGAAGTAGTGCTCAAGCATGTCTGGTACCCGAGTACTAGGCTTCGTTTTATAGTAGGAGTTTGACTTTTCTGTTGACCCCAAGGTTTAAATAACCCAGACGCACCGACCGTGTGAAAGTAAAGCAACATAGAACTCTGGAAAGCCTGCGATGGTAGAAGAGTACCTCAAAACACTCGAATGCTGACTGAACTACAGAAAACGAGGTGGACTACTTCAAGGATTGAAGCAGATGGAGGACGTAATAGACAGAAACAAAAAAAAAATAAAAAACCCAGACACTCTAGACAACAGAAAGGACTTGACATGCTGTTTTTTGTTGGCAGCTTCTAGTCTTTCCAGACGATAGTCTTTCCAGACGATAGTCTTTCCAGAGGATAGTCTTTCCAGACGATAGTGTTCCTAGTGTGCCAATATAGGTTTAAAAAAAAATATGCGCTGAGCCATGAAACATCCTGGAAAAACCATTCCAGGAATAACAAGCAGTCGCGCAAGGATATTGTAAAACTGACCTCTTCTCAAGTGACTGTCAGTATAAAATTAAACTTATTATGTTTTACTTATAGGGAAAAAATGAGGTAGATAAGCAACATACATCCTGTATGAACCAGGACACGGGTGTGATGCATGACTGCTCAACCATTGTACCCGTGACACAAGAAAAGCCGGGATTCAGGAAAACCCCGGGTGTTACGCAAGAGCTGATCTGAGTTGCGTACCCGCTGGTGACAGACCCTGATTGGTCGGTCAAATTTGATGGTCGCACCCAAAATCCGTCTGAAAAAACGTCGCACCTGTGACTGGAACAATAGATTCTTGGGTATTCATTTTCACTTCTAGAAGGGGCAACATGCGTCCTGTTTGATTATCTTCTGTTATCTAAATGTTAATTGTAGGAATGACAGTTTTCTTTTTTTTCTTTGTCGTCGCCTACTGAAGCTCAAACCCGTGCATCTATTGACATCTCAGATTATTTATCCCTATCTGTTTATAATCTCACCACCTGAGCTCCAGTTTGCATGTAGCTCTAACACTCCCGTTGTCAATACCAAAGATTACTCGCTTGTTGAAAGGGGGTATAGGCATGCCAGATTCCTAACTGCTTTTAGGTATAGCTTTATACTTCTTGTAGAAGCCCGTCCTGTCATCTTGGTGGCTGTGTTACTCCCCTCGCCTCCCCCTTTTTTGTTTTAAGAGTTTAACTGAATCCCTTGCATGGTAGACTAAGATGTAACAAAAATGTTTGAAGCATTAAGATGCAATAAACCCGTTGTTTTAGAGACAAACTAGTGGAAACAACATAGCAACCAGACTGTCCAGACACTGTTGTGTGTGTTGAGCTAGTGGAAACTGCGACTACATCTATACAATATCGTTGCGTTTTATAGTAAAACCACTCCATCGACTAAACTACATGCGTAGTCAGTCTAAAGGGGCAGATGCTAGTGAAACCACTCTAGCAACGAAACTACCCTGACATCGTTGTATGGTTTATAGACGGAGATGCTGGTACTACACTGACACCGCTGTAGGTTTTATAGACAGATGGTAAAATCATTCTAGCGACTAAACTACCTAGACACCGTTGTATGTTTTACAGACAGATGCTGGTACTACCCTGAAATCTTTGTATGTTTTAAAGACAGAAGAGATGCTGGTAAAACCATTCTGGCGACTAAACTACCTAGACACCACAGACAGATGCTGTATGAAATCTTTGTATGTTTTACAGAAGAGATGGCTGGTACTAAACTACCTGACATCGTTGTATGTTTTACAGAAATGATCTGACACTACCCTGACACCCTTGTATGTTTTACAGACAGATGCTGGTACTACCCTGACACCTTTGTATGTTTTAAAGACAGAAGAGATGCTGGTAAAACCATTCTGGCGACTAAACTACCTAGACACCGTTGTATGTTTTACAGACAGATGCTGGTACTACCCTGACACCTTTGTATGTTTTAAAGACAGAAGAGATGCTGGTAAAACCATTCTAGCGACTAAACTACCTAGACACCGTTGCATGTTATATAGGCAGCAGAGATGCTAGTGAAATCACCCCATTAAAGTGCCCAGACATCGTTGAGACCCTAGACAGATATCATACTTACAGCCGAGACGTCGGTAATGTTTGGAGTTGCTGTATCTAGTGCTGTAATTACTTGTAGTGGTGGCGCAGGATAAAATCAGTGCCTCTGTTTTCATGGCTTTCAAAACAACGCCGTTATTCTCTGGTACACCTGATCGACCGAAGGAGACTGCATTGGGTGCAGCGTGCACACGGAAGGCATCCTAGTTCTATGTTCCCCCCTTGTCACGAAATTAGCTCCAATGTGCACAGTTCAAAGTACTTTTGTCAGCAACAATTATGTATGCATTTACAGAAGAAAGTCCAAATTGTATTCATATCAGTACTGTGAAAACAATAAACACACCCTGAACTAACGAATATAGTAATATCACTTGTAGCAATTTCCCGAGAGAAACATACAATTTCTCGCAAAAAAAACTTGGTCCTTGCAATGTTTATTCGTTTTTAAATATTTGAATCGTTCTTCTAATTCACTGCTAGAACTTACTATTTGTAAGAAAGTATGTCCTTTTCAACACAAAGTTTGTGGCGCTAAGTTATTAAAGTATTATGTTTATAAAACATAAGAAATTCACAGCCAGACGGTGAGGTGAAATCTGTTGTTTGTGTACAGTCTGCGGCGCCGTTGCGGGGTTTTATAAGCTTGCCAGATTGATGCCCCACTGCGGGCTGCACTCAACCCGGCACGACAAGCCCATGCAACGCGCAACCAATGAGAGAACACATCTGTCAGCAGACGTCGTTTTGGCGGAAGACAGACTAAAGTTTGCGCCCCCGACTTTTGTCGTCCATAGATTACAACAGTCGGGGGATCCACCGACAAAATGGGAAAGTAACTTTCCTAAACATTAAAATGTAAGTCTTTAGGTTACTGTTGACCATGACCCCTCACTCCTCTACAGGCGAACGGTCTTTTTCTAAGCGTTCACAGATTATTACGTCCGGTGGAAAATTCAGGTTGTTCGTCCACTCCTGGACTTGACTCAACATTTATTTTACAGATGTGACAACTTGGCACCAGCTACGGTAACGCCAGTGGTAGAGTAGTTAACGCGCATGCCTGAGAGGAAAATTGTGTTGCGTTTCTTAAGAGTCAGACACATTTGTGTCCACCTAGTATGGGTCTAGGGGTCGACCCAGTCTCTTAAATGGGTCCCTAATAATTTTTCTAAATTGCCTGGGAAAGAAAGACGACGAGTAAGAGAACTGGTCGTTGCATCGTTGCATAAGTGGAACATACCCAGCGCCGCCGCATAGAAAACACCAGTTCCCTCAGCACCACCCCCCCCCCCCCCAAATCATGTTCTAGGGGCGCAACTCAAACGTTTTGAACTGTGCAGAAATGAGAACAGCTAGTCGTAATGATAACACTTGTAATTAATAATAATAATAATAACAATTATATTATCAATACTACAAGTATTATTATTGCACAACCGAAGAAGCCTTACATCCTTTTAGGGCTCCCCCCCCCCCACCCCCCAGAAACTGATGGGCTAAATCAAGGGCTATAAGCCTCGTTTCACTGCACAATAATAAAAATTGTTATATACTAAATGGCCAACAAAAAACAAAAAAAGGTTAGTTGCGTTTCCCTTACAGGACGTTGGAGAACCAACCCCATCAGCCCCTGGCTGTTGTGTGGTTTCACAAGGCAAATTTTACGTCCAGTAGTTTGCCATTGCTTTCTAGGCGGTCAGCTCCCTGATACCACTGTCGAAACCAACGCAAGGCGTATGGCCCGCAGCTGGGATCGAACCCGGTACCCCGGCCTTACGAAGCGTTCGCATCGACTTAGCCACAGAGCCGACGGCCCACAAAAAAGATAACAGTTTTGGAATAGTATGAATCATGTCAACAAATGCTCAACTCGTTGAGTCCCGAACAACGCACAGGTTGTAAAGGGCTAGTTGCTCCATAATCACCACCAGTTTAATAATACAATCAAAATTTGGTCACAGCCTATTAAAGAAATCTGGCCACTCTAGTGACCCCATTACCCGGTTTTGATCCTGTTTAGGTTTCATAATTGTCCCCCTTGGGCATTTGCTGCTAAATATTCTGGTAATTAAAGAGCTTAAAAGAGCGTTTACGCATTGTGCTCGGGTGGGATGGGGACTCTGTTCCCTACTATCTATTTGCAGCGGTTTGTGTGGATGCACGTGTGCATGCGCGTGTACATGCGCGTGTACATGCGCGTGTCCATGCATGCGTATGTGTGTGTGTGTGTGTGTGCGTGCGTGTGCGCGCGTGTGTGTGTGTGTGTGTGTGTGGATGTTTTGAGGTGCCTGCGTCTCTGAGTTCTGGTGTCTAAGGACACACACATGTTCACACACTGGCAGCTGAAACTTCAGTTTGATACAGTTAGGCGAAAGATGAGGGATCAACACCGGATGATGACTGTCACCTTTAACCTGTAGCCCAGATTTAAAAACTTTCACTAAAGTTGAGCTAGTCCCACTCCGCCAGGTTAGCAGTAAGCTGCAAATGCCGACTATAGGAATATTCTGTGCTGAGGTCATAATCTCTTCCACGGTGCGAATCTCTTACCGCTGTCCGAAAAAAACTAGAACTGTCTTTTTCTTTACTGCCCACCGCGTTACCGAACCCTGGTAAACTTTAAGGAATGTATTGTGAAACGAATTCACTAGCCTCTACGCCACACAGTCAAACGGATATAAAGCTAAACGTGGACAACAATTCATGCATGTTTTTAACGGATAAAAACGTAATTCATGTTAGTCACATTACTAATTATTGTTACGCGGCTGTTAAAAAAAAAATTTCCACGTACACTTTTTGTCTATTTTCTGGTTGTTTCCCCCCACATACGTTCATATTTGTTTGTTAGTATTTTCCATTATTTCATTTATCTATTCCTAGTAGTGTTGATCTATTCACACCTGCAATTGTCGACACACCTGTGATAGGAATATCCTGAACGGAGAAGAAACCTAACATCCTTCTCCGCAACTTAAGATCTGCACTTCCTTCAGTTTCTTCTCCATTTCATTATTTATTGTCCAAATTGGCACGGTGCAGAAAGGGCCACTCCACCCACGTTTTCGGTCAGTATATTGTTATTATTTTCGTGTTTCTTATTTAAAGAGATAGAAGTCAGCGTGCAGAAGATAAATTCTGTCACCTACTAGTTAGCCCCACTGCTTATACACCCAAAACGTCCCCCTTCTATCAAAGCAGCAAATGATTAATAACTTCTTTATCCCTTCTTTATGTTATCAGTGCCAAACATGGAAAATGAATAGAGCACTAGAACATAAAAAAAAAAAAAAACTACATGAGAAATGCGCTGTCTCCGCAAGGTCGCTAACAACACAAGAAGAGACAGGGTTAAGAATAACAGCATTAGAGAGAAAGCTGAATTCAGACCATTTCTGGATTATATTGTCAGACAAAGGGTGAAATGGTTCAACCATCTAGTGAGACTGCAGCCAGAACAAACTGCATATGGTTTTTACAGCAGAACATCTAGGAGGAAGGCGAGAGGAAGACCAAGAAAGATAAGGCTAAATAGTGAAGCCGATTCCTGCAAAACGATGAACAAATCCACCACCTAAACCATCCGAGAAGAGCAAGACATAGACAACCACAACACTGGGATACAACCGGGTATCAGTGAGACGACATAAGAAAGAAGAAGAAAACGCTGGCAGTAGCAGCCTTAATATGAAAACAGAGGCAACAAGAGACATGCCTAAAAGAATGAAGATCGAAGGATTCACCGACAACCTAAGACATCATGCCATCATACAAAGCAATAAACATGAAATAAATAACACATCATGTGTTGTATTGCTACACACATACATAGCCTATACACTAAATTTGGTTAATCTAAATATCTTAGCAATTTCTCAAGATTAACTCTGTGTCTTGAATAAACGAATGTACTTCAAACGCAACCCACCAGACACTATCTTAGCATGGCGGTGTGTTGTCATGGCAAACTAGACCGCCATTTGTAAACAAAGAAATCGAAACCTCTGACGTCATTACGGGCGACGGATAATTAAATATGAGCACAGAAAGGTCTTGACCTCGACCCTGCGCAAGGTCGACCATCACAGAAGTGTGGCTGGAGTCCTTAGTATACAAGAAACAAACTTTGAGAGGTTGTCGTAGGGAGATATAGGTCAAGGCTGTTGGGTTTTGTGGTCACAGTGGTCGATTTAACTCCTCCAGTTATTAATGCCGTGAAATAGTTAATCTTTTCAATCCTAGATAGTTTCAAAGTAGAAACCCAATTATGCACAACAATCACTGTGAAAAGGGGCGCCAATGTATGACGTTAAAAACTACAGCGTATTCTATACAGTAAAATAGTTAGCCAGACTTCTTTCCCACATCCTGACCAAACATGACATAAATAATAACACACCATGTGTTGTATTGCTTACACACAAGACATTAGCTGAACACACATAGCGAGTTGCTCAGGAAAAGTTCAGAGTTTAAATACGCAGGACATATTTAGATGAGCATGTGGCCGAGTGGTTAGCTCTTAGAGATGTCCTTCTGTACACTATTTTGTACACATCAATTGCGCCTCCTATCGCTTTTACTTCCATAAAAAATTTCCGGTACCCACCCGATTTGGGCTGAGTCAAAATAAGTCTAGGCTAAGAAAAAAAAAATTATCACTTCGGATTTCAACATACGTCTTCTGGGCAGACAAGAACGCTCGAAGTTCACTGCGCCACCTCGTTCAGTGGCAAAGCGAGAAACACACGCATGTAGCCACGGCATTACAGTAGTTAATTTTCTAATGTAGCGTGGTAGAGGTCTAGGTTCAACCCCGGAATAATATTTTGGCCGACAAGAACAGCTCAGGGTAAAACCCGGCCTGATGGAATCAGATCCCGGATATTCCGTCTAATTTTCCGGTAACTGGCTTTCAAGGGAAGGCGACAGATGGGCGGAGGTAATTGGGTAACCTTTCCTTGTCATATTATGGGATAGAATATGTAAGCGTCGAATACTTGATCATCATCATCATTATAATAATTATGTGCCGTAAGCGTAGGGCTGACATATTTCGCATGTCACACGATCACCAGTCACAGATCAGTTCGGCGCTTTTGTCTCTCTTCAT